CCCCCCCCACTTCCTCATTCACTGAATACAAGGCAAAAAAACCACACTAGTGCTTTCATGTATTGAGATGCAGCTCTCATATCTTCAGCACAATTAAAAAAAAAAAAATCAAGAACCTTATTTGGTATGACCGAAAATGTAGATTTCAAAGGAAAACATTTATTTAAATCTTTCACTTGTCAGTCTGCGTTGTGGACTGACTGGCACAAGTGTCTACCACTAGGGGGTGCTGATACACCAACATTCATGTCACACTGTACTCAGGTCTAAGCAGAGACTTGTCTTTAGGTTCTTATAGGGGAAGGGGGGGGGGGGTTGTCTCTGGTTTCATGCTGGAGGGGTGCCAATTTACAAATGCAAAGAATGCTGTAATTTGTGTCTGAGCCCGCCCTGTATGAAGATTGTTGAAAGCCAGTAACAGTCTAGCTGGGTTTTCCTAAGGACACCACTAACTTTAGTGTAGTTGTCATTTAATGGGCAGCACAGTGGTTAAATGGTTAGCACTTCCGCCTGGCAGTACTAGAGTTGGTGGTTCAAATCCCAACCACGGCACCAACTGCCTGGAGTTTGCATGTTCTTCCTGTGCCCCTATGTGGGTTTCCTCCGGGTACTCCATTTTCCTCTCACACTACAAAGACATGCTGGTAGGTTAATTGGATCCTGGCTAAAAATTGTCCCTGGTATGTGTATGTATGAATGTATTTAGGGATTTTACATTGTACGCCCGTTGAGGGTTAGGGACTGACTAACTATATACAGTATCTCACAGAAATGAGTACACCCCTCACATTTTTGTAAATATTTTATTATATCTTTGCATGTGACAACACTGAAGAAAAACTGACACTTTGCTACAATGTAAAGTAGTGAGTGTACAGCTTATATAAATTTGCTGTCCCCTCAATGATGCCCGCTTCCAAAATGGCCACGGTCCAGCCACGCGCATGTGTGGTGACGTAAGGGAGCAGGTATAATGTGAGTGGCGAAAATCCCGTGGATCTACAGTGAGGAACAGAAGTATTTGAACACCCTGCGATTTTGCAAGTTCTCCCACTTAGAAATCATGGAGGGGTCTGAAATTCACATTGTAGGTGCATTCCCACTCTGAGAGAATGTAAAAAATAAATTCAGGAAATCACATTGTATGATTTTTAAAGAATTTATTTGTCTTGCACTGCTGAACATAAGTATTTGAACACCAAAGAAACAGCAAGAATTCTGGCTCTCAAAGACCTGTTACTGTGCCTTTAAAAAGTCCACCTCTACTACACTCATTAATCTAACTTAGTAGCACCTGTCTGACCTCTTCAAAGACACCTGTCCACCCCACAGTCAGTCAGACGCCAACTATTACCATGGGCAAGACCAAAGAGCTGTCAAAAGACACCAGAGACAAAATTGTGGACCTCCAAAAGGCTGGAAAGGGCTACAGGGCAATTGCTAAGCAGCTTGGTGAAAATAGATCAACTGTTGGAGCAATTGTTAGAAAATGGAAGAGGCTAAAGACGACTGTCAGTCTCCCTTGGACTGGGGCTCCATGCAAGATATCACATCGTGGGGTAATCACTGATGATAAGAAAGGTGAGGAATCAGCCCAGAACTACAAGGGAGGAGCTGGTCAATGACACGAAGAGAGCTGGGACCACAGTTTCAAAGGTCACTGTCGGTAGAACACTACACCGTCATCGTTTCAAATCATGCATTGCACGGAAGGTTCCCCTGCTCAAGTCATCACATGTCCAGGCCCGTCTGAAGTTTGCCAATGACCATCTGGATGATCCAGAGGAGGCATGGGAGAAAGTCATGTGATAAAAAATAGCAGTATGACAAGTGCAATACTGCTCACACAAAGTGGTAATTAAAAATCCAAGCGGAGTAATATGATTAATAATTACAAAAAGTTTTATTCGATCACATGGATCATAAGGAGGTTAGACAGAGACATGGTAAACAAGTCATTATAAAATCACTAAGTTAAAAACATTCGGCGTCTCCAGATCTAATAGTTATTCGGCAATCAGGAATCCACATAAGGCAATGAAGTTCCTAACTACTTGATGAAAGAATTTTCATATTTTCCATACGATATCTGCATAGGGAGAACATTCTTCAAAAAATTGTTTTTGGTAACCACCACAATGAATAGAATGACCTCCTGAAATGGAAAACCAGAAAAGAAAGGATCATAGTAGAGGGAACAAAAAATAGGATATATGCACTAACCATAAGCAATAACAAAGTAACCCCATATCAGGTATATATGTTATTCCATTACCTTCTCATAAGCAAAGTAAGCCTAAGAAAGTCATGTGGTCAGATGAGACCAAACTAGAACCTTTTGGTCTAAACTTCACTCGTCATGTTTGGAGGAAAAAGAAGGATGCGTTGCATCCCAAGAACACCATCCCTACTGTGAAGCATGGGGGTGGTAACATCATGCTTTGGGGGTGCTTTTCTGTGAAGGGGACGACTGCACTGTATTAAGGAGAGGATGAATGTGGCCTTTTATTGTAAGATTTTGAGCAACAACCTCCTTTCCTCAGTCAGAGCATTGAAGATGGGTCGTGGCTGGGTCTTCCAACATGACAACGAACCGAAGCACACAGCCAGGATAACCAAGGAGTGGCTCCATAAGAAGCATATCAAGGTTCTGGAGTGGCCTTGCTTGTAAAGGGACCAAAAGTAATGGGGACAATTGGCTTTTCAGCTGTTCCATGGCCAGGTGTGTGTTAGTCCCTCATTATCCCAATTACAGTGAGCAGATAAAAGGTCCAGAGTTCATTTCAAGTGTGCTATTTGCATTTGAAATCTGTTGCTGTCAATTCTCAAGATGAGATCCAAAGAGCTGTCACTATCAGTGAAGCAAGCCATCATTAGGCTGAAAAAAACAAAACAAACCCATCAGAGAGATAGCAAAAACATTAAGCATGGCCAAAACAACTGCTTGGAACATTCTTAAAAAGAAGGAACGCACCGGTGAGCTCAGCAACACCAAAAGACCCGGAAGACCACGGAAAACAACTGTGGTGGATGACCGAAGAATTCTTTCCCTGGTGAAGAAAACACCCTTCACAACAGTTGGCCAGATCAAGAACACTCTCCAGGAGGTAGGTGTATGTGTGTCAAAGTCAACAATCAAGAGAAGACTTCACCAGAGTGAATACAGAGGGTTGACCACAAGATGTAAACCATTGGTGAGCCTCAAAAACAGGAAGGCCAGATTAGAGTTTGCCAAACGACCTCTAAAAAAGCCTTCACAGTTCTGGAACATCATCCTATGGACAGATGAGACCGAGATCAACTTGTACCAGAGTGATGGGAAGAGAAGAGTATGGAGAAGGAAAGGAACTGCTCATGATCCTAAGCATACCACCTCATCAGTGAAGCATGTTGGTGGTAGTGTCATGGCGTGGGCATGTATGGCTGCCAATGGAACTGGTTCTCTTGTATTTATTGATGATGTGACTGCTGACAAAAGCAGCAGGATGAATTCTGAAGTGTTTCGGGCAATATTATCTGCTCATATTCAGCCAAATGCTTCAGAACTCATTGGACGCCGCTTCACAGTGCAGATGGACAATGACCCAAAGCATACTGCAAAAGCAACCAAAGAGTTTCTTAAGGGAAAGAAGTGGAATGTTATGCAATGGCCAAGTCAATCACCTGACCTGAATCCGATTGAGCATGCATTTCACTTGCTGAAGACAAAAATGAAGGGAAAATGCCCCAAGAACAAGCAGGAACTGAAGACAGTTGCAGTAGAGGCCTGGCAGAGCATCACCAGGGATGAAACCCAGCGTCTGGTGATGTCTATGCGTTCCAGACTTCAGGCTGTAATTGACTGCAAAGGATTTGCAACCAAGTACTAAGTGAAAGTTTGATTTATGGTTCTTATTCTGTCCCATTACTTTTGGCCCCTTAACAAGTGGGGGGCACATATGCAAACTGTTGTAATTCCTACACCGTTCACCTAATTTGGATGTCAAATTAAAGCTGACAGCCTGCAGTTAAAGCATATTTTGTTCGTTTCATTTCAAATCCATTGTGGTGGTGTATAGAGCCAAAAAATGTTAGAATTGTGTCGATGTCCCAATATTTATGGACCTGACTGTATATCATTTTGTTTGCCTGGTGTCAAGGGAGTGTGTCAGCTATAGACTTGTTTATTGTGAACTAGCACAGATTTTTCCTTTTTATTTTCAGATATTAAAATACTTGCGTTCATCCCCATTCACTGTGTGGCCTTGCCAAGAACCACACAACCTTTTTAAAGAAAGTCTTCGCTGAGTCCTCTTCCCTATTGGGCTTACTGATAGGAAGGAATGGGCAGAAGTGCACATGCATAGTGGGAAAAGAAGCTGGCCAGGACATTCCCTTCTCAAAGGCTGTGCAATACTGATTGGGAATGCATAGTTAAAATCCAACTCTAGTAAAACTAAAGATCCTTCCTTGCGGGGGGGTTGAGCCCGCATTGCAAGGGTTAAATGATCATGTTTACTTAACTTTTCTTCTGCTCACCAGCACATGGTGCTCCCCTATGCTCTGGTGATGGAATGTTCCTCAGCTTCCTCATGTCCAATGCAGGGTCCTGATGCTGGAAGACCTTAAAGTGCAGGAGAGAAGGCCATGCTGGGATCAGCCTAGCAGTGCACAGGAGCCTGCAGGAGCGGAGGATCGGTTAAGTAAAGCTCCCTTTCTTGTTCCCCTAGACCTAAATGAGCAGAATGTAAAACCAAAAAATATATATATTTATCTTTATCCCTGTCTGGGATTGCTGTCTGTGTTTCCCAATGAGGAGATACACCCACTCTGCTTGTATTGTTGACCATACAGAAAGTGATGGGAAAAATCCAAATATTTGAGTTGTCATGGGAACAAGAGGCTCTATACAGTACCTAATTGTTTAAGCCTTTTTATTTAATATCTTTGTGTGTTTTTTTTTCCCATTTATGACCAGAAGCTGTATTTTCCTTTTCCTAGATTGTTATACATCAGTGAACATGGCGGAAGGCAATTTTGATCCCTGTGAATGTATCTGCTCCCATAACTATGCAATGCGAAGACTGATTTATCTGGTACGTAAGTTCTTAGGCTGATTCTGTTTATTTCTTACAGGTTCATACACAATATAAGGTGAGTGATGATAATGTGTGTTTCTACTGTTTCACACCAACGATGGGGCACTATTCCTCCCCCCCCCCCCCCACTGACCCCCAACGATGGGGCACTATTCCCAACCCCCCCCCCACCCCACTGACCCCAACGATGGGGCACTATTCCTCCCCCTCCCCCACTGACCCCAACGATGTGGCACTATTCCTCCCCCCCCCCCCCACTGACCCCAACGATGGGGCACTATTCCCCCCCCCCCCACTGACCCCAACGATGGGGCACTATCCCCCCCCCACTGACCGCAACGATGGGGCACTATTCCTCCCACCCCCCACTGACCCCAACGATGGGGCACTATTCCTCTCCTCCCCCCCCACTGACCCCAACGATGGGGCACTATTCCTCCCCCCCACTGACCCCAATGATGGGGCACTATTCCTCCCCCTCCCCCACTGACCCCAACGATGTGGCACTATTCCTCCCCCCCCCCCCACTGACCCCAACGATGGGGCACTATTCCCCCCCCCCCCACTGACCCCAACGATGGGGCACTATCCCCCCCCCCCCACTGACCGCCAACGATGGGGCACTATTCCTCCCGGCACCGCAACGATGGGGCACTATTCCTCCCCCCCCCCACTGACCCCAACGATGGGGCACTATTCCTCCCCCCCCCACTGACCCCAACGATGGGGCACTATTCCTCCCCCCACACTGACCCCAAAATATTAATCCTCCCCCCCCCCCCAACGATGGGGCACTATTCCTCCCCCCCCCACTGACCCCAACGATGGGGCACTATTCCTCCCCCCCCCCCCCACTGACCCCAACGATGGGGCACTATTCCCCCCCCCCCACTGACCCCAACGATGGGGCACTATTCCCCCCCCCCCCCCCACTGACCCCAACGATGGGGCACTATTCCCCCCCCCCCCTGACCCCAACGATGGGCACTATTCCTCCCCCCCACCCCCAACGATGGGGCACTATTCCTCCCCCCCCCACCCCCACTGACCCCAACGATGGGGCACTATTCCTTCCCCCCCCCCACTGACCCCAACGATGGGGCACTATTCCCCCCCCCACTGGACCCCAACGATGGGGCACTACCCCACAACGATGGGGCACTATTCCTTCCCCCCCCCCACTGACCCCAACGATGGGGCACTATTCCTCCCCCCCCCCACTGACCCCAACGATGGGGCACTATTCCTCCCCCCCCCCACCCCACTGACCCCAACGATGGGGCACTATTCCTCCCCCCCCCCCCCACTGACCCCAACGATGGGGCACTATTCCTCCCCCCCCCCCCACTGACCCCAACGATGGGGCACTATTCCTCCCCCCCCCCACCCACTGACCCCACTGACCCCCCCAACGATGGGGCACTATTCCTCCCCCCCCCCCACCCCACTGACCCCAACGATGGGGCACTATTCCTCCCCCCCCCCCCACTGACCCCAACGATGGGCACTATTCCTCCCCCCCCCCCCACCCACTGACCCCAACGATGGGGCACTATTCCTCCCCCCCCCCCCCCCACTGACCCCAACGATGGGGCACTATTCCTCCCCCCCCCCCCCCCACTGACCCCAACGATGGGGCACTATTCCTCCCCCCCCCCCCACTGACCCCAACGATGGGGCACTATTCCTCCCCCCCCCCCCCCCCACTGACCCCCCCCCCCCAACCCCATGATGGGCACTATTCCTCCCCCCCCCCCCCCACTGACCCCAACGATGGGGCACTATTCCTCCCCCCCCCCCCACTGACCCCAACGATGGGGCACTATTCCTCCCCCCCCCACACACTGACCCCAACGATGGGGCACTATTCCCCCCCCCCCCCACTGACCCCAAACGATGGGGCACTATTCCCCCCCCCCCCCCACTGACCCCAACGATGGGGCACTATTCCCCTCCCCCCACTGACCCCAACGATGGGGCACTATTCCTCCCCCCCCCCCCCCCCACTGACCCAACGATGGGGCACTGTTCCCCCCCCCCCCCACTGACCCCAACGATGGGGCACTATTCCTCCCCCCCCTGACCCCCCCCCCCCCCCCCCCCCCACTGACCCCAACGATGGGGCACTGTTCCCCCCCCCCCCCACTGACCCCAACGATGGGGCACTATTCCCCCCCCCCCCCCCCCCACTGACCCCAACGATGGGGCACTATTCCTCCCCCCCCCCCCCCCCCCACTGACCCCAACGATGGGGCACTATTCCCCCCCCCCCCCCCCCCACTGACCCCAACGATGGGGCACTATTCCTCCCCCCCCCCCCCCCCCCACTGACCCCAACGATGGGGCACTATTCCTCCCCCCCCCCCCCCCCCACTGACCCCAACGATGGGGCACTATTCCTCCCCCCCCCCCCCCACTGACCCCAACGATGGGGCACTATTCCTCCCCCCCCCCCCACTGACCCCAACGATGGGGCACTATTCCCCCCCCCCCCCCCACTGACCCCAAACGATGGGGCACTATTCCTCCCCCCCCCCCCCACTGACCCCCCCCCCCCAACGATGGGGCACTATTCCTCCCCCCCCCCCCCCTACTGACCCCAACGATGGGGCACTATTCCTCCCCCCCCCCCCCCCACTGACCCCAACGATGGGGCACTATTCCTCCCCCCCCCCCCCACTGACCCCAACGATGGGGTACTATTCCTCCTCCCCCCCCCCCTGACACTGAGGGGCACTATTCCTCCCACTGACACTGAGGGGCACTATTCCTCCCACTGACACACTGAGGGGCACTATTCCTCCCACTGACACTGAGGGGCACTATTCCTCCCACTGACACTGAGGGGCACTATTCCTCCCACTGACACTGAGGGGCACTATTCCTCCCACTGACACTAATGAGGGGCACTATTCCTCCCACTGACACTGAGGGGGCACTATTCCTCCCACTGACACTGAGGGGCACTATTCCTCCCACTGACACTCCCACTGAGGGGCACTATTCCTCCCACTGACACCTCCCAGACACTGGGGGCACTATTCCTCCCACTGACACTATTCCTGAGGGGCACTATTCCTCCCACTGACACTGAGGGGCACTATTCCTCCCACACTGACACTCCCACTGACACTGAGGGGCACTATTCCTCCCACTGACACTGAGGGGGGCACTATTCCTCCCACTGACACTAATGAGGGGCACTATTCCTCCCACTGACACTAATGAGGGGCACTATTCCTCCCACTGACACCAATGATGGGGCACTATTCCTCCCACTGACACCAATGATGGGGCACTATTCCTCCCACTGACACCAATGATGGGGCACTATTCCTCCCACTGACACCAATGATGGGGCACTATTCCTCCCACTGACACCAATGATGGGGCACTATTCCTCCCACTGACACCAATGATGGGGCACTATTCCTCCCACTGACACCAATGATGGGGCACTATTCCTCCCACTGACACCAATGATGGGGCACTATTCCTCCCACTGACACCAATGATGGGGCACTATTCCTCCCACTGACACCAATGATGGGGCACTATTCCTCCCACTGACACCAATGATGGGGCACTATTCCTCCCACTGACACCAATGATGGGGCACTATTTCGCTCCATAAGACACACTTGGGGGGAAATGTCTGTGCATCTTATGGAGCGGCCGGCCCAGTATTCCCGCCTCCGTTGTATGTCCGCAGTCTCTGGTCATCTCGTGTACTGTGTCTGCATTTGTTCATAGTTTTTTTTTTTTTTTTTTTTTAACTATAGTCCGGCCCTCCAATGGTCTGAGGGACAGTGAACTGGCCCCCTGTTTAAAAAGTTTGAGGACCCCTGAACTAGAGGTTCTGAAGATTAGTAAAGGCTGCATCAATCAGTTGCTGGTTGCTGCTTAGTGGGGGTGGGGTCAGGGTTACTTTTGCTAAAGTGAAATAAGGCCAAAACCTCCCTTTTTTGACACAATGATGAGGTGTTAGAATCCTTCTGATTTTTTCCTAGCGACCATGGTTAGGGGGAATTTTAAGTATTCCTAAACCCAGGACCCTGCATTCTCTGTATCTGGTCTTCCACAGTACACAGAACATGGAAATTCAATTATTTTAGTAAATATAAACTGCTAAATACCTTTTCTCTTCAGCAGTTAGACCAGTCTTGTGACTTCTATCAGTGTCCAGTAGAGGACTAGTTAAAGCATGTAGGAGGAGTTTTCATTTTGCTCTAGGAGGATGCAGAACCCCTGACTCTGGACAGTGATTGGCCCTGTGCTGATCACATCCACACTTCCAAGAAAAAAACTCTAGCAATACACATCAAACTGAGCATGTGCAGCTTTTCCCCATGGCTGTGTTCTCTCAGATATATTGGGGACTGTCGAAGAAGGAGAGTATCAGTAAAGACATGATCAAACAACCGTTTTTACACAATGTAGGGGATTAAACCCTGAGTGAGTGAGTTTCCACAGTGAATATAACAAGCATGCTCTACTGCATATACAGACTGATCTTACTGTTGTGGGTTTAGTAACACGTTAACCACTTCAAGTCCGGACACTTTTACCCCCTTCCTGCCCGGGCCAATTTTCAGCTTTCAGTGCTATCACACTTTGAATGACAATTGCGCGGTCATGCAACACTGTACCCATATGAATTTTTTAGCATTTCTTTGAGACAGATAAAGCTTTATTTTAGTGGTATTTATTCACCACTGGGATTTTAATTTTTTTTTGCTATGTAAATGAAATGTCGCAAAATTTTGAAAAACAGTGTTTTTCTTATAAAATTTTGCAAATAAATAATATTTAATCATAAATCTTTGCCAAAATTTATTCTGTTATCTTTTTAGTAAAAAAAAAATAACCCAAATTAGTTTATAACCAAAAAATATAATTTTAAAACATTTTTTTTTTTACATTTTTATTTTTTATATTGTTTTTTTTGACATAGGGTGACATTGTCACCCTAGCTGTACAGTGTCACCATGGTGACACTGTACTACTTGTGGGGGGTGATGAAGATTTTTTTTTTTTTTTACACACTGATTGCTTTTACACCCATAAAGGCTATAAAAGCAATCATTTCTCCTTCTCTCTGGCTGCATTCTTGCAGCCATTGGGAACTACTGTGTGAGTTGTGATTGGTCACAGCTTGTCACATGGTACAAGGCTGTTGTGAATCGCCTTGTACCATGTGACCTCTGTGATCATTCATTCAGATTTCACACGTAGTAAGCAATGATGTCAGAAGTGACAGCTTGCGTACTACTCTTCATGTGATCACTGATTGGTCAATCAGTGATCACATGATTGGGACCTCGCACAGAAATTTTTGGTATTTTAGTTTCAATACCGCTTTAAGCTTGTAGGCAAGTATACTGTGAGCTCAGCTCTCCTTTGGCTGCAGTCTTGGTGTTTGGGGTACAGCTGCTGGCTCCACTCCTACACTAGGCTTCTAGGAATGGTATTTTTTTTCCCCCTATTGGAACGTTCTCATAAAGTGAAATAAGTGCCCTAACCAAGAGATGTTATATTTGTCAACAGATGAAATAACAGAGCTTCTGCAGTAAATTAATTTTACTATAACTTTTTCTCTTTTTACAGCTTAGGCAGTCTCAGTCTTTTTGCACAGACACAGAATGCTTTCAAGAAAGTGAGTATACATGTTTGCTGCTGTGTGTCTTCTGATTATTAGTTTTTATAGCGCCACCATTTTGTTTATGATTTTGCCACTTTTTAGAATACTTGCAATCTTTTACACCATGTTTGACCCACTTAATGTGAACTTGTGCTTTGCCCACACAGAAAAAGCAACAGGTTTCTCTTTAATTCCCCACAGTAACAGAGTAAATGTAATCCTTTTTTTTTTTTTCTTCTTTTTTTCATAATATATATTTGACATTTGTCCCCATGTTTAGTGATTGGCCTAGCACTGTCACATGAAGTAAGTCACAAACTCTTCCATTCCTGGAAGTAGGGTTGCGTCGATACCAATACCAAGCATTTGCATGAGTACTTGTGCTCCAATACTAAAAGCAATACTTTTCCATGCTGTGCGATTTGAGCCCATACAAAACGAATGGGCTCAAATCACACTGCAAAGAACTGCAATGCGATTCCTGTCCGAATTACTTGCAGTTTCTCACACCTCATGTGATTCGAAAAAACCCACATGTGGGTAACCACATTTGATTCGGACAGGAATTTCACCACATTCCTGTTCAAAATGCATGCAATTCTTTGCAGTGCGATTTGAGCCCATTCATTTTGTATGGGCTCAAATAGCACCACACTGAAAAAAACAAAATGAGTATCGGTAATTGGTATCAGTGAGTTATTGGTAATTGGTATCGGCGAGTACTTTATAACAAGTATCAGTACTCATTCTTGAAAATCTGGTATTGGTGCATCCCTACCTGGAAGTATTGCATATTTTCTTCACTCCTGGTGGCTGAACAGAGTAGCAGTGGAGAGAAGGAATGGTAAGTGCTTTTGAGAAGGACACATATTACCACATTCTTTTGTACCTTTTTTTGGTACATTTGTTCCTTATAGACAGGTGATGTATATTGGGCTTCGCATGTGAAGTGTCTGAAGAATAGTCTGAGTTTTAGCCAATCAGTTGCTCATGTTACTGTTGTATGTTAAAGAGAAGTTGATTAATACCTAAACACTTTATACAGAATACCATTTGTGTCTGTACAGATGTTTATATAGGCATCTTTTGTTCAAACTGCTTTTACTTAGTGCAAAATCAGATCATGTAGTGTTTCTTTACATGGTCTTATCTGAGCTTTGTCAGTGACCATACAAGAATTTCTTTATTCAGGAGGGTGAGATAACAATTCTCCTGACTGTGATCTGTTTTATGGCACTCAACAATAGTGGCTTCACTGCTGCCTTGAATGGTATTCTCCCGGCATCCATTGTGGAGTCTAGAGGTATTTCCTCTTTTTGTCAGATAATGTATAATGTAGTAGATCTTTCATGAATTCATAAAAGCCTGTAGCACATTCTTCACTAGCATGTTAGAAACAAGAAAACGGGGGGGGGCGGAACCTAACTATGGCGGCAGCGGAGAGCTCGTGGTAGGAGCTCCCGGCCGGAGCCCCTCCGACCGATCCCCCTTTTTTTTGACCCACAAAATTCCCCTGAAGTATGGAGCCCTAGAAGCCTGAGACCTACCTCGGACTGGCAGGCTCCCTTGGCTGAGCGGTGGCCCGCGGGAGGAAGAGCTGGGGAATGGAGATCATCTGAGAGAGGTGGGGACGCTGAGTGTGGTTGCCGGGAAACAAGGAGGCGCGGCCAGGACATGTGACCGGCCGCAGTGCATCCCTGGGAGGCGAGGAAGCCAGCCAGCTGGAGGCTGACGGGGAACAGGAGAGATATCGTCCTGTTGGACGACTAGCCACTGTTGGAGCCCTGTGGGGGGTGAACTGTGAAGAACTGCCTGCTCAACAAGAAAATGGAGGAAAGTCCTGGAGGGTCCCCCTAAGAGCAAGAGAGTTGACCTGCTGGAGAAATGGAGCCTGGAGCAGTCTCATGAGAGGAGCAGGGAGGGTGAGTGGCTCCGGCTGTGGCCTCAAACATAAAAATTGTGCAGATCTGGGAGAAACTGTATCAAGTTGAAGGAAGGCAGAGAGTGAGAGAAAAGGGGGGGGGGGACGACCCCCAGAGAATATAAAGGAGAAGAACGTAAGGTGTAGGCAAAAACACACCGAAAAGCTAACAGGGCTGGGATCTCTATTTCTATATCATATTGATTTCTTTTCTCTGTGTAAAATTCAAGTTTATGAGACAAAAATAAAAGAAACAGAAGAAATGAAAAAAGTGCAAAGGGAATCGGGCCTAAAGGGACCCAAACGGGTACAATTAAAAAGTACACATCCCAGGGAAACGTGACCCCGGAAAGGCCCCAGAGCAGAAATGACAAAGGAGAATCAGACTTAAGTATGAAAGTAGTCCGAAACAATTAATGGATTTGGATATCAGTAGTCAACAAATATCAGAGACAGAAAAAGATCTACAAATCCCAAATAAAAAAGAGATGACAGAAATGTTTAAAGATCTGGAGAGAACAATAAAGCAAGAAATGGTAAATATTCGGAGTGATCTGGGGCAGCTGTTGTTAAGAGTGGAGGAAAACTGAGCAGAAAGTTAAAAACCAGACCCAGATTATTTCCGAATTAGAAAAGAAGATAATTAATATGGAAAAAGTTCAGGAAAAATTGCTGTACAAGGTGGAAATTCAAGAGAATAGAGAGTGAAGGAGAAATATAAGGATAAGAGGGGTACCGGAAAGCCTAAAACGAGAACTAATGGAAGAGGCGGTTTGTAAAATACTGAACTTTATAACGGGAAACTCTGATATGGAAAAGACTAATATAGAAGGAATCTCTAGAAATGGGAAACTCCAGGGGAACCATGAGAAGGATAGGCCGAGAGACATACTTGTTAAATTTTCTGAGCTGCAGCAAAGGGAAAGAATCTGGAGGAAAACGAAGGGAAAACCAGTAATAAAATATGGAGAAATGGACATCCAAATATATGTGGACTTGTCACTGGAGACTCTCCGAAGGAGGAAAGCTCTGAGGCCTTTTCTGGAGCAGAGGAGAAAACAGAAGGTGCAATATAGATGGGGGATACCGGAGTGCTTAACCACTTGCCTACCAGGCACTTATACCCCCTTATTTACCAGGCCAATTTTCAGCTTTCAGCGCTGCCGCACTTTGACAATTGCGCGGTCATGCAACATTGTACCCATATGAAATTGTGATCATTTTTTTCTCACAAATAGAGCTTTCTTTTGGTGGTATTTAATCGCCACTGGGCGCTTTACTTTTTGCGCTATAAATAAAAAAAGTGCAAAAAATTTGAAAAAAAAAAAAGTTTCTTTGTTTCTATTATAACATTTTTCAAACAGGTAATTTTTCTCCTTCACTGATGTGCGTTGATGAGGCGGCACTGGGGCACTGATAGGCGGCACTGATGGGCACTGATAGGCAGCACTAAAGGGCACTGATAGGCAGTACTAATGAGGTGGCACGGATAGGCGGCACTAATATGCAGCACTGATAGGTGGCACTGATAGGTGACACTGATGATGGGTACTGATAGACGGCACTGACTGGCAAAACCGCTGGGCACTGACTGGTGGCACTGACTGGCAGCACTGCTGGGCGGCAAGCTGGTGGGGCAGCACTGGTGGGTGGGCACAGGTGGGTGGCACTGCTGGGCACAGGTGGGTGGCACTGCTGGGCACAGGTGGGTGGCACTGCTGGGCACAGGTGGCTGGGGCACTGCAGAGTGGCACAGGTGGGTGATCTGCTGGGCACAGGTGGGCTGAGCTAGTGGGCGCACTGCTGGGCACAGGTGGGCGGAACTTGCGGGTGGCACTGCTGGGCACCGATCATCAGGGCACTGATCATCAGTGCCCTGATGATCGGTGCTGATCCTTGCTCTGACAACTGCCGGTTCTCGGCCGTACTTTCCTCACGATCTGACAGCGTGAGGAAAGTGCAGCCGAGAAGCGGCACTTGCATTTCCCTGTGATCAGCGTGTCATTGGACACCGCTGATCACGTGGTAAAAGGCCGTTGTGATTGGCCTTTTACCACATCACGTGATCAGTTGTGTCCGTAGGACACAGCAATCACGGAGATCGCCAGGTGCGCGCCCCCTGGGGCGCGCAGGAGAGCGCGTTCTGGGAGGACGTTATATGACGTCCACCCAGAACTGGCCGGCCGCAGTGCAGCCGTCATTCGGCTATCTGCGGTCGGCAACTAGTTAATAGGATGGAAAAAAAACGGAATAAACAGCCCAATTGAGGTTCCCAGAGGACTTGAGAAATTTTTGCGATAGACTGGAAATGCAGAGAATTGAAATTAATGGATGGGAAGAAGAACACACGGGGGAAATAGATTGAGGGGAGGGGTGGGACGGGTGGAGACTGGTGGAGGGGGGGAGGTAGGGCGGGGGGGGGGAGTGGAGGGGAGAGAAGTTTTTTTTTTTTTTTTTTTTTTTTTTTTTTTTTTTCTCTCTCTTCTCCTCCTTGCCCCCACTCCATCACCTGTTTCCTCCCTCACCCCTCTAGCTTAACTCCTTTTCCTCTTCTTTTTGTTAAGTATAAGTAGAAAGGGGGTCAATGGGGAGATCTGGATGGAGGAGAGGCTGTCCATGGGAGGAGTGTAGCCCTAAGGACTATATCAAAGGTGGTATTTCCACAAATGATGGTTAGGCAAAGCGAAGGCCTAAAAAGAGGGGAGGGGGGGAGTGATGGCAACGATGCCGGGGGGGGGGGGGGGGATGGAAGGGGAGGGAGAGGAAAGGGAACGAGGGGAGAGATGGGGGAGGGATAAGGGGGGAGAAAAGGCTAGTGGGATAAAAATGCTCTATAGGAATAAGAAAGAGGAAAGTAAGGAGGAAAAAGGAGTCAGGAGGAAAAGAGTAAGATGGAAGAAATCCAATATATAACCTACAATGTAAAAAGGTTAAGCTGTCCAGGAAAGAGATTTAGGTTATTTAAAGAACTACAACATAGAAAATCTTCAGTGGTATTTCTGCAAGAAACACACCTAGAGATAGAATCGAAGGTTAGATTGAGGACCAGATATTTTCCAACATGGTTTTATGCGGACTCGCCAATCAAAAGAGC